ATCATTGTTGCCTCTTCTCTTTGGTGCTCTTTGATTCCTGTCCTGCTCATTGTCATCTTGCCTTGCCTAGCTTGCCATGATGTCTGGTTTCTGTTCCTGGTTCGGAAGTAACTGGTCTATTACTACCGTCTTCACCCGAATAGAACGCCCGCTCATTATAGCCGTATTTGGTGCACTTGTCAGTCCAGATACAGGTATATAATAACCGGGCGCTATTCGGGTGAAGTCAGTAGTTATTAGAGGATAACTTCAAAACCACGAACAAAAACCAGGAACATGGTGTCTGGTTTCTGTTCCTTGTTTGAAACTTGAAAGTAATAGTTTATTTAGGGCGTCTGTGTTCATCTGTGTGTGTGCTTGGGTTTGTCTGTGTTTTTTCTTCTTTTTTTTTGGGGGGGGGGGGGGGGGGGGTGGTTGTCATGGGTTGGGGGGGTTACGGTCCATTCCAGCACACAGCTATGGCGGACAATGGGGATGAGCCTGTTGATCCCAGGCCTAAGATGGAGGAGTCATGCAAGCCCAACTGCGTCAAGCAGCTTCTGCAGTATCAGGTCCACCTTCCTGCCCGTTCCTTTCCTCTTGTTCACTGGTCATTATTTTGAATGAATGAATAAATTACCTGATTGAATGAGTTAAGTACTTAATTAATTAGTAATTAGTAATGTCTAGTTAATGCATTCAAATATGTTGGTGAGGGGGAATAAATCCGAATAATGTTATTTACGGTGCCAGGGCAAAAGGTAGGTTGGGTGATGGCGGCCGCGACAACGATCGGAGAGAGACCCCTTTAGTGCTTAGGTAGTTCTGACTGCCCGCGACGCTTCGACAGCAGTGCGAAGGGTGTGCATTTTTGGGGAGGGGTTTGGGGGGGGGGCATAGAGTGGTTGTTGGGCGGAGGACTGGTCAAAGTGCGTCATGGCGTTGCATTTTCGGGGTTTAGGGTTTGGACGTTGGCATGGAATGGTTGGACAGAGGACCGGTCGAAGTGCATCATGGCGTTTTAGGCGAGTGGTCTCTGGATAAGGGGTTGAGGCCCAGGCCGGCATGTTGTTTCACCTGTGGCGGCAAGGCCCACGCCCATTGAAAAGAGAGTGTGGTTAATTTGGCGATTGTTGTGGTGCTCAGAATAAATATTTCACTAAAAAATCCGGAAAATAGGTTGAGTACTGGTCTTTGCGAGAAAAATATTAAAAAATATGAAACAAGAGTTCCTTGGTGGCAAAACAAATGTTGGCAGCACTATAGTTCCTCTGGGGTGAGGTCCCACTAGCAAAGAGGATTGGATTGAACACCTGAACCTGGACTTGATCGTGGGAAGGTGCAGAATGTCGAGATTGAACTGCTTTTCCGCATCTCTGCTTAAAACACGTCCAGAATCAGGATATTTATCCAACCCTCTTTGCTAGTGGGACCGCACCCCAGGTTTCCGAGAATATGAAACAAGAATGCCTACTTTTATGGTAGTTGCTTCATTGTCTCTAATCTGTTATACTCCTAAAGCAGAACCCGGTCCTTGTGTGATGCCCCCTCGCCCTCCGAGCCCAGAGAAAAGCACTGGCACTCTTGACATCCTGGACGGCTGGCTGCCCGTCCCAGCCCAAATCCTGCGTGGGTACAGAAGTCTGAAATACAGATGCAATGAGACCCATGCCTTGCGTCATGCGAATTTCTTACTTTTCTGACGATGCTGCCTGAAGTTTCGTGTTGGAGTCGTTATCGGTCAGGCGAGTTTGAAAGCAGACGTAATCATCCGCAAAATACAGACCGGATCTATCTTTTTTTATGGTTGTTTTATACAGACTGGATCCTTGCGTCGTTTCGTTTTTTCAGTCAAGATGGTGTGTCAAGTTCGAATACAAGTCCATAGCCCGCGTGGAGGGAAAGAAGACCCCTGACTGGTGTTGGCAGGCAATTTCGAATTCAGATGCAATCATTCGCGAAATACAGACCAGATCTGTCTTTTTTTGTCGTTTTATGCAGACTGGATCCTCGCATTGTTTCGTTTTTTCAGTCTGTACGGCGTCCCATGTCTGAATACGAGTACATGGCCTGCTTGGAGAGAAAGAAGACCCCCGATTGGGGGTGGCAGGCGAGTTTGAATCCAGAGGCAATCATCTGCAAAATACAGATCAGATCATACTGGCAACCGCACCGTGCACCGTACCGTCCGGCGTGCGGCACAGCGTGCGGCGCGGCACCTGCTCGTGCACCGTACCAGTGGCAGTCTCCCTTTTTTTTTTGGTTGTTGTTTTGCTGTTTCTGTAGATACAGAAGAGTGCAACACCTGAGGAGCTTATCTTTTTCAAGTAAGTCCTACAGATTTTTCTTTCCGTCGAATTGGGCATGAGAAATAGCCTCAAAAAGGTGTCCGGGACATCAGTCTTAACCTTTAGGTAGCGGCATTACCCTCCCGCCATTTTTTTTTTTTTTTTTTTTTTTTTCCCCATCCCACAACAAATCTTTGAAGGGGACGCAGGTGACCATTGACCCAGCCATGCGACCCCTTTTTTTTCGTGAGTGGATATTTCCCCTGTGCGCCACACATGCCGTGCTCCGAACGTGCGGAATTTTCCGCACAGCGTCCGCTTGCATGTATGGATCAGATCTATGTTTTTATTGTCTGTTTTATAAGACCGAATCCTCACATCGTTTTGTTTTTTATCAGTATGGCATCTCATGTTCGCATGCAAGTACATAGCCGGCTCCGAGGTAAAGCCCTGTGATCGGAGGTGGCAGGCGAGTTCAAATCCAGATGCACTCACCCATGAATCTATCTTCTTTTCGTTATTTCATCCGGACCAGATCTTTGTGTCGTTTCGTTTTTCAGTCACTATTTAGTGCAGGGGGTACACACACGAGCTGTCAAAAAAAGAGACCGAAGCTGCAAGGACCTGCCAAACACAGACTGAGACACACAGCCGATTTCTGAGTTCTGCCAATGGAATGTACGCATTGCTGAGTTTCCCGCTTGATGCTGAGTTTGCTAAGTCTGTGTGTGGGCGTGCTTGCTGGTCTGAATGCCTGTCCGAGTGCGTGACGATTTGAGTGTGTGTGTGTGACCTGCAAGGGTACCTGTCCATACGGGAGGCCCAAAGGGCTGGTACTTACCTGTGGCTGTGACATTGAGGGTTGCAGCGGGAAAAACACGCTGAGCCCGTTTCTCAGCGCGTGCTTCTCCCCACGAATAGATTGGAGCTTGTGTTAAAAAAAAAAAAAAAAAAAAAGAGAGGGAGAAACTTTACCAGGGAACGATAACCAAAAAGTCTGCTTCTCTCTCTCTCTCTCCCTCCCTCTCTCTGTCCCTCTGTTCCTGTTGCTCTCTGTCTCCCTCCCCTTCTCCTTTTCTCTCTCTAACACGAACTCTCTCTCGCTCTCTCGCACTCCCTCCCCTTCTCCTTTTCTCTCTCTAACACGAACTCTCTCTCGCTCTCTCGCACACACACACACACACACACATCTCTCTCGCGCTCTCTCTTCTTAACTTTCTTTCCCCTCTTCGTTGCTCTCTCTCTCTCTCTCTCTCTCTCTCTCTCTCTCTCTCTCTCTCTCTCTCTCTCTCTCTCCCACACACTTTGTCTATCCCCCTCTCGCCCCCCCTGTCCCTTTTCTATCGCTGAGCCCCTTTCCGGCTCTCCATCTTTCCCCCTGTCACTCTCTCTGTATTCCCATGCTCTCTCTATCCCCCTGCCGTCTTCTCCTAATGGTTAATCTTCTTTCCCTACTTTTTTTAATGCGAGTGGTGTGGTGCTGGTCCACCTTCCTTTTCTTCGAGAAAAAAATTGGTCCTCATCATGGTCAGTCCCTGTCACTCCAGCATTTCCAAATGGTATAGCAATCACGCTGCAGGTGAGGTGTCTTCTTTTTAACTTCCTTTCCTTGCTTACTTTGTCTTCTCGATTTGCCGATTTTCTTCTCCTGTTGAAATAATGTTTCCTTATTTTTCTGACCTTACTTGCCCATTACGCTCGAATGCATGTCAGATAACTGTCTCAGACCATCCAACACTGTCCTTAGATATCACCTTCAACTTTGGCAGTTCCTCACAACCACCCTTATCCTCCCTCTCCCAGTGATTTTATCATCAACCATACTCCTCACAACCACCCTTATCCTCCCTCTCCCAGTGATTTTATCATCAACCATACTCCTTTTTGACGCGGGCAAAGCCGCCCTGGCACTGCTTGTGACATTCTAGTACTATGTCATGACAAGAATGTTTGATGTCCCTGCACTTACACAAACACAACTACACTAGTGCAACAACAACGAACATGCTCCTTGTGTTGTAATGACTACCTTACCCTCCCCCAACCACATGAACATACAATTTACGGGCTGTGTATCCATGCCCTCACGGTAAGTCAATCTTTTCTGAGGCCGGGGTCTGGCTAGTGGTAGGCAGTCCCTATCAGCCTACCGGCCTGGGTCTGGGTCCCAGCCCATGTAATTACCTGTGTGGTACCCTGACAAGGCCACCAGGTAGTTACCCTGGATGGGGTCCACCAAATTAGTTCCCACGGGCGGACTTCACTTAGGGCCGGCCTGCTTTACCACGGGTGGGCACTCAGGGCACCGTCGAGGCCTGTAGCCTCGCAGTAATCAAAGACAAGAAAAAAGTATGAAATAAAGAAAAAGGGATGCGAGTGAGAGTGTGGGCCAGAAAACTGCCAAAAAAAAAAGGAAAAAAAGGAAAAAAAAGAGAAGAAGACCAAGAAATCGCATGTTGATATTGGTCGGGCTGTTGATATTTGTCAGAATAAGACCCGGAAATAGTGAAAGAAAACATGGCTACGATCCGGACGTCCCGACCGCCGTCCAGACGGTCCGGATTCAGTCCGGACTCCAGACGTCCGGTCTGGAAGGTCCGGATCTGCCGAAATTCGAGGGGGGGAAAAAAAAAAAAACGGTCGAGGACCCTTCCCCATTGAGGAGCCAAGCCCCCAAAATTGTTTTGGGGGGTTTTCAGGCCCGTTTATGCTTTTTTGGGGGGTCCGGACATGCTCTCTCTGTATAATAATTTATTAGACAACCCTAATTTTTTAATTATTAATAATTCATTACCTTTTATTAGTTTTTGAAGTCTTTTTTAAAGCTTTTTTATAGTTTTTGACTTGTAAGTTGTAACTCAAGTTTGGTTAGGAATTCTGACATGACTCTGAGGCAAAAGTGGTTTGCATTGTTATTCTGCATAGCATACTTTTTTTTCAGAATTTTTCATTTTTATTTTGTTTTAATGGTCCGGACATTTCCGGACCTGTCCAGACATCCGGACCGTCCGGATCCCCCCATGTCCGGAGGTCCGGAATTCCGGACGACCGGAAACTACCGGACACGGGTCCGGTTCCATGTCCGGAAATGTCTGGGTCCGGGTCCGCGTCCGGCGTAGCTGTGAAAGAAAAAGAACTAGAAATTGCATGGTGATACTGGACGGGCTGTGCCGGCGACGAACAGAATGAGGGGCCATTGCACAACCATTCTTGAAAGACTCAGGGGCTCGTTCGACACTCATTGGGAGGTCCTCGGGGACGAAGGAAGTTTCCTTGAGGGTTTTCAAGGAAGTTCCCGCCATCATTCCACCTGTCCTCGGGGGCGTTGCCTGAGGACATTTCCTTCGAACGATGTCAGATGAGAAAAAAGAAAAGAAAAAAAAATCAAATGTGTTTGAGGCCTTCAGCCAATAGGGTGCTGCCACGATCCAGATTCTCGAGTTGTAACGTCTCTCTACCCATGTGCCCGCTCCTCTCCGTGAAACGCGGATTGCTTTTGCCCAAGCAAAAGGAAGAAATGGCTGGGGAATCCTCGGAGCCCAAGGAATTTCCTTCGGAGTGTTTTCACTTTTTTTTTGCCGACTGCATCCCTGTGCAAGGAACCCGACTGTACATCACTTGCTGGAGTGCATCAGATCACATGCATTTACACTGATTTCACAGATTGCGAAGTCTCACACAAAACCCAATAGAATGAGAACCAGGAAGCTCAACTCAATTATCAAACCCAGATTTGGAGAGAGAACATCGTGAGTTCAAAGTATATAGTGCTGAACAGAGTTACAAGTCTTCTTTCGATCAACATGAGTTCCAAGCCTGGCACTCATCAGCGCCAGCTGCCAAATGTCAACAACAGCGCTCAACAGGTAAGTGCCACCATAGCTCACACTTCCCCCTCTCTCGTCTGCCTTCTTCTCTTTCCCTCTATGTCTATAGTCCTGGTCTACTCTCAAACATCATGCATGCACACTCCCTATCACACAAGGATCTACTCTGAATACTACTCACTGGTATCTCCCACTGACTATCCCTACTATTATACTAACTAGCGCTGGCGCAGCTATGGCTGCCTTCCCTCTAGCCAGCGCTCTCTTCCTTCCCGCATAGCGCTGCTCTTCAGCCTAGCGCAGCTCACACACATCCAGCGCACAAGTGCCACAGCACTTCCACACGCTCATGCGAAGTGAGCATCTGTCCAAATGGGAGGGACTGGTCTGGCGTGGCCTGCGTTCAGCCTCAAATGTGCCTGGGACTCCTGCCCAGTACCGATTGTTGCAAAGTGTGTGTCCCAGTATCTTTTCCCATCCAATACCTGTTCGTTCAGGACCTGTTTGTGACCTTTCAAAATAACTTTTCAGTTCATTATGGATGCGACATCTTCCTCAGGAACGTTGTCTTTTGAGTTGCTGCTCGTGAATTTAAGTCCTGGCCGACAGGGCCCCTTGCTGTTGGGGCACCCATTTGGTGTCTGATTCGTAAAGGCCCTTTTACCTGAGGATAGGTGGAATGAACAATTCCTCGGGGACTTTACACGCCCGAGGAGTGTCGAACGAGCCCCTCAGTCCTTAGGGCATACTCACACTTGGACCTTTTTAAGTGATCTCTGCACATGACTGCAGTCAGATTCATCCAGGAAAAGTCCTATGTTAGTGTGAGTATCCCCTCAGCCTTTGCTAACGTTCCCGAAAAGAGGAAAAAGAAAAAGACACCTGATTCCCTAATCTCTGTTAGCATGAAAAGAAAAGGAACTCTGTTAGTATGTGTGGCTTCTCGTTCTGGTTCTTGGTCGGTCATCTTCCTGTTGTTGGATTGAAGTTGGGATTGATCCGTTGGGATTGGGATTTGGATTGACATTGGCGTCCTTGGCCTGTTCTGCGGGGTAACCTTTTAAGAGTAAAAGTTAACTTTCGGATCGCAACTAGATTCCTGGAAATATCTCACCGCAAGCACTCCAAACGGTCCATACGTGAGTAGGCAGAGTGTATGCCCGTGTCAAAGTCACAATCATTGGGTTGAGACTGCGGTCGTGCGATCAGGATAGAGATTGAAGGATCTAGTGTTCTCTTTCTCTGGGTTTGGTATCCACTCAATCAGGTCTGGGATCAATTTAACCGGGCAGGTAGGTAGGAATTGGAGCCAGGGTCTTAATTACCACTCTGGATGTTTGGACATGTTTGCTGTTTTTGCAGGCATGTGTGGAGCGGTTGGAGAAGGATGACACAGGAGCGAAGCACTGCACTGGCCAGTCCTTCGACTACCTTGCCTGCATGGACAAATGTGTAAGTGGAGAAAATCCTGTAAAGAAGGAACGACCATCTGTGAAGACAAGAATAGAAAAGAAAAGAGAAGAAAAGAGAAGAAAAGAGAAGAAAACAAGAGTAAGAGCAGACTCACACTTGTCTCTCTTGAATCTCGCCTTCGTTCCCTAGAGGAGGAAATGATTGTTGAAAGACCGTGCAAAACACACGATTTTGCCTTTGCCTACCTCATGTGGCAGGTTGCATGGTATGGTACACGCATCTTACTAACTGTTGATGAACAGGTCAATCAGGAGTTCCAACCGTGACAGAGTCAGATGGATAAAAATAATGCTAAGGGTTACCCCCTCCCTAAACATACACACTTCACATGCACACACGCAGACACAAATTTGTGCTTTTTGGATGCTGGAAAATGCCATACTTGGCGGTAAAGAAGGCAGATGTACTCACACATGTGCACCCAGCTGGCGAAAGAGGAAGAAGAGGATGAGTAAAGATTTCCCCCAAAAAAGGTGGTTTTGAGTCTTTTGAGTTTTGAGTCTTTTGACTATACTCGCATTGGGAGTTTGTGATTGAATCTGTTTGAAGGCGTGGCTGAAGAAACCCCTGAACAGCATTAATTGACTGTCAGGCTTACCTTTTCCTTCTTGAATTCCTTTTTTCTTTCTCCCTTTTTTCTCTTTTTCGTAAAAGGGCGATATCCTTGAGATGTCATCATAGAACTTACTGCCCCCAGGTAATTCAGAAATTCACTCAACAAGTTCCATCTGGATTCGAGCTCACGTCTGTATTTCAACATTTCAGAGTTGTACCAACTGAGCTATGCCCATTGGTATTCCTTGAATTCCTCTCAACGTACTCGCTAGTAGACTGGCAGATCTACTAACTAGTAGACAGCCTAGAACTTGGTTGTGTTCTACGCATCTAGGAGCAGGCTTGCCGCCCCTATTCGATGAAGCTTGCTGGTCCCTTGTTTAGTCATTTCGTGTGTTCCTCGCAGTCTATACACACGTGTACAGACTTCCAGATCTGCTTGAAGCTTTAGAACTTCAGAGAGGAGACCAGGGTGGTCCTTTCACAACTGTGACGTCTGCTGCCCTGCTCTTCTGTAGCTCCGAGGAAGCCTCTTACTCTCTCCTTCTATGTTATGTCCAACAGACTGGATTGTTGGAGTTGTCATTCTCGAAATTGTCTTTTGCTGTTAATCTGCTCGGGATCTACGAGTCATGCCAATTTCTTTTTCCATCGCAGGTAGAGGAGGCCATTAGTTGGGTCCGCCCTGCGGTTGGCCAGCCAGTTGTCTTCAGATCTGTCGGCCTTGATTTTCCTTTCTTCATCCTCCTGTCGTGATTGTATCAAGGTCTTCGTCTGCCGCCATTCACACCTCTGATTTCACAGCTCCTCTCTGATCTTTGATCAAGGACCAGACTCTCTCCCACTGATTCCTTGTTGTGTTGAGCGACCGTGATGCTCTCTCTCCCTCTCCGGATTGCCCACATCGTCACTTTTCTGATCATTCCAGATCACAACTTTGCAGGCTTCCTGAACCACGTCCTTTTCCCAACTGTTTTGTTCCAAAGCGGCAGTTCACAAACAAGTTTTGCAGCTCCTCCGGCGTTACATTAGTCCTGATCAACTTCATCGGGACATCAGGCTGCCTCAGGTAGCTGGGCTGTATAATATAATAATGCTATAGACTCAGCAACAGGCCATACACCCGCCCTCGAGTACAAGCAGATGCTAGAGAAGTCAGTAATTACGGCAAAGTCAGAGGGTGGAAAATCAGCATAGACAAAAGTTCCACCCTCTACCTTTTTTCCCTCCTCTAACCGGAAGTATGCCTTGATCCCATCGGCGCACTCCTTCACACGCATCTCGCGATTGTCGGCCAGTCTACTTACTACCGGCTCACTCAACTTCTGCGCCTTCATTCCTAAGTGCAACTTCTTCAGTCCTCTCCTGCTAATAAAACTCCGCGTGCAGCCACTATCCACTAAGGCACTCGCTCTTGTTCGCCTAATCTCCACATCTACCAAAATCAGCTGCCCTCTTGACTTCTTCATTTCGGCCCAGGCGGGGCGACGAGTGATCAGCTTATCACCAATGCCTGTGAGGGAGCCACCTAGAGAGACCCCAACACAAATAGTCTCCGGACAACTACCTAGGTGGGGGCCTACATCAGCCTCTGCTGTTGGGGTCCTCGGGTTGGAGGTTTCTCTTGCAGCACATGCTTCTTATCATGTACCCAAGCCCCAGTAGGAGCAGCTGCCACTCCTACCGGCTGTTGCCTTTTGGCGGTGATCTCAATTCAGGGCACAAGGGATTATATGGCCTGCCTCTTGACATTTGATGCAGGTCCCCTCTTTGAGCCTCTTGGCCCACAAGTCAGAGGGCATGTTCAATTTCTTTCATGGTTCTCCCTCTACATTGACTAGGGTGCCATGGGTGTCTGCATGGTGCCTTTCGCCTACTGCCTGGATTGCTATTGTTGGCAAGGGTGTAATTGCCTCTACCCCTACTTTGCTGTTGGGGGGCTAGGCCGGTGCTACCATGTGGGGCTCCATAACCCCTACCTCCCTCTACACAGCCTCCATTGCTGCACTCCCCTTGATAGCCACGTCCTCTTCCAACCCAACCACGGGCTCCTCTACCTCGGCCACCTCTTCCTCCTCGTCCTCCCCCACGAACCACAGGAACGAAATCACCTCCCTGGACTCCACCACTGTCCTCATCCAATCCATACTCAATCTGGTCATAAGTTAGGGCTTCACAACCTCCTCCTTCAAACAGCACTACCAGGTTGTCATTGCTCGTAATACTTTCTGAAATGGTCTAACCTTTCCAACTCTTCCCCTTCTCGAAGTCCTTGTACCATTGACAATTTGCTTCTTGGAGGAAACCAGCCTGATCCACTGCCATCTTGCTAAACTGGTCGTAGGTCATGCCATCCTCTTTGACCTTAGCATGGAGATTACTCTTGATGGGGTTGGGAAGAGCTCTAGCAAAGTTGCTCAGAATCTGCTCAGGAGTCAGTTCATGATCTGGGGTCTGCAACGGCTCATCCATCACAGCCTTCAATGCCGACACACTCTTCCATTTCCGGAGATGGATGTTGTTAAGCTTGTCAGCAGTCCTCATGGCTTATGTCTTATCTTCAAAGCGCTTACGTAGCGCATCTAGGAAGGTCTTGAGAGCGGTTCTCTTCAAGTATGCCCCTATATCACAACCGCAACCTGTCGCATTAGCCAGTGACAATGCAAAATCTGCAGCAGCGCCTCGAGTGAGCCATCAGAACCTTATCTTCCTTTGGGATACATTGGGCGTACGCATATGATTGGAGTGTCGACTCCCAACGATCATTCCACAATATGTGTCAGGGAGCTTCACCTTGATCTTCTCCCTCTTAAACGATTCTCCTTCTCCCATGACCTTTCCATTTTCGCTCAAGGGCCTCTCTTCGGTGATGGTACAAATTATCTTCTTTGCAGCCAGCTGCAATCAGACTCGCTTTCAAACACACTTTTCACACATGTAAACAGTACGCAGCACACTGGCGACATGCGCCCACTCAAAACTCAGAGATATGG